GCGGGCGGGCCATTAGAAGAAGCGGCGGCGGGCCGAGCTTGGTGGCGGTGGCAAGCGACGCTCCCGAAACCCCGCGGCCAGGTTTGCAGTTCCGGCTGCCCGCATGGACGCGGCGCTGAAGCGGAGCCTCTCGGAGGAGCCGGCTGAGCTCCCGGCGTCCGCCCGGGACTTGGAGGAGGAGGAGGAGGAGGAGGAAGAGGGGATGGAGCAAGAGCTGGAGGAGGAAGAAGAGGTGGACCCCCGCATCCAGGTAGGGCGCGCGGGGGGCGCCCCGAATCCCGACCCCGCGAGGGCCGCCGCGGAGGTCGGCGTCTCCACCTGCAGCTGCCTCGCAGCCCCCGGTGCCTGCGGTCTGCGGGCAGGGAGAGTGGGTCTGAGTCCCGGGTTTCACCCGGCTCTTGGGGAGCTGCAGTGCCCGCGTGAATGCGGCCTGGCTAGATTGCGGGGATCCCCGCATACCCCCGGCAGGACCCCGGGGTCGCCGCAGCGTGCTCAGCGGTTCCGCGGATGTGCAACAAAGGGAAAAGGGGGCGGGGGCGCCATGCGGGTCTGGGGGTCCCCGGCCAAGCTCTGGGCGCCGCGTGCATGGCACGGCCTCCTGGCCGCGGAGGAGAGGCCGGCCGCCAGGTGGGCGTTGTCCGCCCTGCTGCCCGGGCTGGCCCGGCGCCCCGCGTTCCGAGTCTGCCTTCACCTGGCGCAGGTGCCCGGCCCGAGCCATCTTCCTCCTTTGGCTCATTGTTCCCAAACTGAAGGGTGGATTGTCCCCGCCGACTCAGCCTTGCACTTGGCCTCGAAGGTTTAAAACCCAGCTTTTCCTTGTTGTGAGGTTGAGTGTGAACAGGAATCGGGAACAACTGATGCGCAAAGCAGACGCGAGGAGAAGGCGAGGGGATTGGCCTGGCCCCCCGCACCTCCATTTCTAAGGGGGATGATTAAAAACCGATTTCCAAGCCTCGATCTAGGAGTGACAGCTTAACCTCTTCACCCGCCAGGGAAAACGCACAGCAAATCCCGTTGCCAAGACCGTTTTTCTACCCTTTGCCTAAGTCGTTCTTAAAAATACATTGCTTTTAAGTATCTCTTTCAATTCCTGAAGCCCTTATTGGTTTTTCAGTGCGCAGATCAATTAAAAGCTCATGTAACTCAGCTGTCTCTATTTAAATGAATTGTTTTGGCAGATTAGCCAGGTAAAGATCAGGTGGGAAATGTTTGCATTAGAAATCTTATTAAAATCGTCAGTGTGAACTACTACTACCATGTTTTCTTGGTAGGGGAATTCTGTTAACAGGATCCTTTGTTTGCAGAGTAAAATGAGTTAACTTCATGCTGGCTACTTTTTACAGAATTTCATTTTGCAAATGTTTATTTAAAGGTATCTTTTTTAAAGCTAGTTAAAAAAATACCTAGGGAGATTGAATAATTGGCAGTTTGAAAAGAAAAGATTTTCATCTTTATAGAAAAATACTCAACCGCCGATGAGTTAACGTCAGAATGGTGCCCTTGATTTTGAGAACATTTCACTGGGTTTATACTTGTGGCTTGGCCTTGTTTATTTTCTTTTATTGTCTTTTCTGCAAAGTTCTTGCTGCAAAGCAGAAGGTACTGTTTTGATTCGGCTTCAAAACCATTGTAACAGGTGGATTTACCTGAAGGCACAAACCTGGAGTAACTATTTGACCTTCTAAGAAAAGACAAATTTCTGGGACTTTCTGACATTGCTGATCAAGATAAAGTTTTCAGAATTGCTGACATGCATTTGCTCTTCCGGCCAAGGCTCAACTATTTTCCTTGAGAGTTAATACTGACTCGTCCCTCTTCCCACAAATGGTGCTGGAGTAATTTTGCAGGCAATGGGCTGAGTCATACTGGAAACAAAAGACAATCCCTTAAATCTTTTTTCTCCCTCTGTCCTTCCTTAGGGAGAATTGGAGAAGTTAAATCAGTCCACGGATGACATCAACCGACGGGAGACTGAACTTGAGGTACAGAAAGCGGGCCCCTGTCCCTTGCTGAAGTGACACCCGAATGGTTAATTTTGTTTTACTGGCTGGAGGGTGGTTGCTGGCGTGCCCTCCTCGGAGTTGAGCAATAGCCTGCTGTGACAGAATCAGCTACACCACTGAGCCCAGCTTGTGGGTGGAACACACATGGATCTCATTTCACATGTTGTTTTTCATCATGGAAGCTCCGTGGGGCCCAAACCAAGGGCTTTACACAGGCGTAAGCCCTAAAGTTAATGTGTCTGGGGAAGAGCTGCAGACCTGAGGGGAAAATGAGCTGACCCTTTAGTGGAGCAGCATAAAGGAGCTCACCAAGTCTCTGCAGTGCTTTCGGGCGGTTCTTACACTGTACTTGGAAACGTGTTTCCTCAGATTTAAACCTTTTTTTTTTTTTTACTTTCCTGCTCTAAGAATTCACCCCCTTCGACATTCCTGCTCACCTCTTGATTGTCGGCTTGTGTGTAGAATAGAATCATCTTAATGGTGAGGAAAAGCTGTTTAGACTGGGAAGGGCTTTCCTGCTGGGAAGTAGCTTGAGAGACTAGAACTCATTTGAATTTCACGAACATCTCCCAACCTGAGTGTAAACAGATTAGCATTCTTTTTTGTTGCTGTTGTTAATCCTCACCCGAGGATATTTTTCCATTGATCTTTTAAAGCAGCGGTTCTCAACCTGTGGGTCGTGACCCCTTTGGGGGTCGAACGACCCTTTCACAGGGGTCGCCTAAGACCATCGGAAAACACATATATAATTACATATTGTTTTTGTGATTAATCACTTTGCTTTAATTATGTTCAATTTGTAACAATGAAATTGGGGGTCACCACAACATGAGGAACTGTATTAAAGGGTCGCGGCATTAGGAAGGTTGAGAACCACTTTTAAAAAGAGAGTGGAAGAGAGGGAAAGACAGAGAAACATCATCTCACCTCGATTGGTTGCCTCCTACAGGAGCCCTGACCGGGGCCCTGGCAGCGGGGAAGAGCCTGCAACTCAGATACGTGCCCTTGCCTGGGATTGAACCGAGGGACCCTTGGTCTGCAGGCTGACACTCTATCCACTGAGCCAGACCAGCTAGGGCCAGGTTAGCATTCTTTACAGTTACCGATTGGTCCCCCTGCCTTTTCAGTAGTGGTTGGTTTTACCATCCATCAGCAGATCTGAACGACCCTGCATGTACCCGGGAGCCTGTGAATGGTGTCAGAGCTGAAGGAGCGCGGAGAGCCGCTGGCTGTTCCTGTAGCAGGAGAAATAGCAGGGAAGGTCAGTGGAGAGGGCAGGACACATCTGGTCCCTAAAAGTGAGGGTGCAGGCGGTAGGAAGGTAATCTACCAGCAATACACTGGCAACCTGGACTTTTGCCTGCCTGCCGTGCCGAGGCCCTGGGTGTGGGAGTGGGGATTAAAGCCTGTCTTCTGAGCTGTGTGTGAAGGGTTAACCCCTCTATCACGACGGTAGGTGGCTATGAACATTGGCTGCGCTTCTCCCCCAAGTGGAGTAAAATCTGAGTGTTTATTTAAATTCTTTGCACTTAGGATGAATCGAGTCTCTTCGTTGGGCAATTGAAATCTCTCGGAATCTCAGATTTGTAGTTCATGAAACAACACCCAAAGCCCTACCACTTCTATAGTGTTTTTTTTTTACAAAGTGTTTTTACAAGCTTTTTCTCTTTCTGTCCTGTTACAATAGGCTCATGTTGTGCTGTCCAATACCACCACATGTGGCTATTTGAATTGAAATTAAATGAGTTGAAATGAGATTAAAAATGCAGTTCCTCAGGCACGATAGCCATAGTTTAAGAGCTCAGTAGCCCCTGTGTTGGACAGAGCAGAGAGCACCTCCACCATCATAGAAAGTTCTAGTGGACAGCAGGGCGTTGGAAGGTAGGGGAGGCGGCGACTGCACCTTCAGATGGGGACACGGAGGCACAGTGCCCTCTCGGTTCAATGACGTTAGGGAGCCAGGCCATTGTCCGTATCCCTCCAGCTCTCATATCCTCCTGTCCCAAGTGTGAATAGACGAGTTGGAAATAGCGTTTGTATTTGGATGCCTGCTCGATGCCGGCCACAGTTCTGCTTGCGCACGCTTACCTTCTGGGGGTAAAATGTTCCATATGTTGAACTCCTTTTAGCCCCGATTTCCGCATCCTTTCTCTGAACGTACTCAGGTGTGTGTGTTACGGGAAGCTCGGGGCAGGTGTTTCCTGCCTTGCTCTGGAGGGCACTTGGCAGCAGCGAGGAGAGGTGGCCAGAGCTGGCCTGTGTCGCTGGCTGACCTTTTCATGGTATTATTAGAACCAAGATGGACCCAGAAATATAACGCCAGCTCTGTAAGCAAGGAACACGTCCCTAGGAGCCACATCAAAAAGTAAAAAGAAACAGCTGGAAGGGACTTTATTCCATTTAACCGAGAATGTTCCGGATAGCATACTTTTAATATGGCATCAATAGTAAAAGCCAGCCCTAGCCGGCTTGGCTCAGTGGACAGAGTGTCGGCCTGCAGACTGAAGGGTCCCAGGTTCGATTCTGGCCAAGGGCACATGCCTGGGTTGAGGGCTCGATCCCCAGTGGGGGGTGTGCAGGAGGCAGCCAATCAATGATTCTCTCTCATCATTGATGTTTCTATCTCTCCTTCTCCCTTCCTCTCTGAAATCAATAAATAAATATATTTTAAAAAGTAGTAAAAGTCAGTGAGGTATTTTACAGATATTTTGGTATGAACTTCAGAATCTTGTGCGTATTTTGCACCTACAGCACATCTCGGTTTGGACCCGCCACTCAATAGCTCCGTGTGGCCCGGGCAGCCCACGGCTAATAGGTGTTGCCTGTGAGTCTCCCAATGGAGCAGAGGGGTTGGGCCCCAGTGCGGCTGTGTGGACGCTGGTCATGCTCCCAGAGCCCGCGGGGAGCTGGGTGTCGCCCTGTGTCTGTGGTGGGCTGCCCTCCTCCAGTCAAGCCCTGGGCCCCAGCCTTGTGTCAGGCACTTTTTTGGCCACTGCAGACACGTGGGCGAGCCAGACAAAGGTCTTGCCCTCAGGGAGTTTACATTTCGGTTGGGGGTGGGGAGAGGAGAGGTGGCTGATAATTCCTGATTGTAGGAACTACAGTAGAAGAGGGAGGTGACAGGCTGTGAGAGAGGAGGCACCGTTAGATAGCTGAGCAGAAGCCGGCAGCAGCGAGTCCCTGTGCAAAGAGGAGCAGATGGCAGGAGCGGCGGGGGTGGCGCAGGGGCGTGTGCCAGAGGATGTGGGACAGGAAGCAGAGCGTTTAGATGCACAGTTGATTCTCGTTATTTGTGGTAGTTGTTTTCTTTTTTTAATGTACCCCAGTTTTTAATTTTTATTTATTTTTTAAATTCTTTTAAAAAATATATATTTTATTGATTTTTTTACAGAGAGGAAGGGAGAGGGAAAATTCTTTATTGTTTAAAGTATTACATATAGTATTACATATGTCTTCTTTCCCCCCATTGACCTCTCCCGGCCACCCCCACCCCCAGTCGTGGTAGTTGTTTTCTGTAAAGTAGCTGTGAACATTGACTCAGTGACTCCTGAACCATTGCTCCCAGAGGGGAAATGTGACCAGGCGCTCGCAGGACCCTCGCCCCACCTTCGGTTCCTGTGTCTCTCTGGTCACATTTTTGTCAACAGATCGACACAAAACCTTGTTTTATGTGTGTTTCCGTTTAAAGCGCTGTATATAATGTACGTTCTTGATTCATTAATTGAACTCATGGGCAAGACCACAGACTCATGCCTGGATGAAGCCTGTTTAACACCGAGTTCTCTGTGACCCGTCACAGCCTCCTTGGGCTGCGGGGCACCGGACAGCACGTTAGCACTAGGCTTGCAGGCCGGTTTAAACAGCAGAATCACCAACAAAAAACACAGAAACTGTGGCACTAAATGGACCGTGGGAAGGATACTGTTCACGGTGTGAGAGCTGGAACCAGAAGCGGAGGGTCTTTGCTTGACCTCGGCTGAGAGCATGTGCATTGGGTGACCGTGCACGTCCACGGATGAGTGCAGAAGCACATGAATGTTGACTTGGAATCATGAGTAAATCGTAATGAGTGTGGAATCTGTAAGAATGAGGATTGGCCTGAAATGATTCCGAAGCCCCTGGAGGAGGGTCTTTCGCTGTCCACATTGCCTTTGCCTTTACTATTTTTTTAAAAATATATTTTATTGATTTTTTATAAAGAGGAAGGGAGAGGGATAGTTAGAAACATCGATGAGAGAGAAACATCGATCAACCGCCTCCTGCACATCTCCCACTGGGGATGTGCCCGCAACCAAGGTACATGCCCTTGACCAGAATCGAACCGGGGACCTTTCAATCTGCAGGTTGACGCTCTATCCACTGAGCCAAACCAGTCAGGGCTTGCCTTTACTTTTTGAATATTACCTGGAGTGCCTAGCACTCCTCCTGCCTTTGTCCGACTCTGATTAAAGTGACTTGGTGACCAGGTTTGTGGTGGCTGCTACTTTGCTCACAGAGTGTGGCTTGGTTGTCTCTGGGCAGCCAGAGGCCAAGGTGCAGGCCTGGTTTCACCTTTAGGATCCCATCTTTTTTCTTCTCTCTCCCCCCCGCCCCCTTCCTTCTCTTTCTTCTTCTCCTCCTCCTCCTCCTCTTCTTCTTCCTCTCCCTATTTAAATCGGAGGTTACCGAGAGGCCTCTGGATGTTGGCCACCTGCATGTCGCCAGTTGGACGGCTGCCTCTTCCTGCAACCTCACTTTGCCTCTGACCTTGTTTGAACAGAGCTGTGTCCCCTTTGCACTCTGATTGCTATCGGGAGGGCCAGCCTTTCAAACTGTTGAAGGGGATAACCTTTTAACCAGAGAGGCCCTTGGATACAAGCCTGATGTTTCAAATTAAGAAAGTAAGCGCATTTTCCCACACACACATCCTTGAGTATTTATTGAGCACCTACTATGCGCTAAGGACAGTTTTAGGTGACGGGAGAGAGAGCAGTGAAGAG